CCATCTCCAGAACTTCTTCCCCAACTGAAATTTTGTACTCCTTAAACAATAACTCCCCATTACTTCCTACCCCAATTGTTGGTAACCACTATTCGACCTATCTCTATAAAGTTACTATTCTAGCTATCTAATATAAATGGAATCATACAATATTTGTCCTTTTGTGTCTGGCTTATTTTATCTGGCATAATTTCTTCAAGGTTCATCCATGTTGTAGCACGTACCAGAATTTCACTGTTTTTTTTGTATGTATATACCACTTTTTTTTTTAATCCCTTTATCCATTGATGGACATTTGGTTTGTTTCTACCTTTGACTATTGAGAATAATGCTGCTATGAACAGTGGTATACAAATACCTGTTCAAGTCCCTGCCTTCAATTCTGGGGGCAGAGACCTAGAAATGGAACTGCTGGAACATATGGCAATTTTGTGTTTAAGTGTTTGAGAAACTGCCATACTGTTTTCCACGGAGGTTGCAACATTTTACATTCCCACCAGCAATTCACAAGAGTTCTAATTCCTCCACATCCTTACAATTTTTTTACTTAACAAGTAAAAAAAGTACTTACTTCATATGGAAATCTTTCTAAAATGTTATCACTCATTTCCAGCCTTCAGAAAGGAAATATTAAACAAAATTTAACCTTTTTCTTGTAGTGACTTATATACATTGATGCCTCCTCAGAAGCTATTGCAATATATCTTTGAGGTCTTGCTCTGTGTTGATGCTATTCTCAGTTATTTCTACAGATGAGAAACAATTCTTTCAGAATCCTGAAAAGTATCATCTGCATTTCACAGATAAATAAATGAGGTACACAGAGGTAAAGGAACTTCTCCAAGATCACACAGCTAGTTAGTGAAGTTGGAAGGGTTCAAAGTCTTTGCCTTTAGACAATTAGTGAGACTCCTAGCCATCTGACAATGTTTGTCTCTATATTAAATGTCTCCTAACTAACACTGTACATTCTTAGAAAATTTGTTTGTGTTGTATAATGTTTTATTTTGTTTTTCATTCTGGTATTACTCCTTGTGTTTGTAAGAGTACCTACCTCTAGTCATTTTCTCCTCTCTACCCACATGCTGATACTGACATCCTGTCATTAAGAAAAACTGATAAAGAAAGAGTTAAGGGGCACCTGGGTGGCTCAGTTGGTTAAGCATCTGCCTTTGGCTCAGGTCATGATCTCAGGGATCCTGGGATCGAGCCCTGTGTCGGGCCCCCTCCTCAGCTGGGAGCCTGCTTCTCCCTCCCCGCTCCCCCTGCTTGTGCTCTCTCTCTCTCTGTCAAATAAACAAATAAAATCTTTTAAGAGAAAGAAGAAAGAAAGAAAAAGAAAGAAAGAAAGAAAGAAAGAA